TGGGCATGGAGATGGGTTCCCTGGGGAGGGGGGAGTTTGTGGGGGGATGGAATCTCCATCCCTAGAAGTTTTTAAGACCTGGCTTGACAAAGCCCTGGCTGGGGTGATTTAGTTGAGGTTGGTTCTCCTTTGGGCAGGGGGCTGGACTTGATGACTCCTGATGTCTCTGCAGCCCCTAGGATTCTGTGATTCTACATGATATTTTGAACGTGTCCAAATCAGATCATGGTCTGCCTAGCTGAGCATCCTGTCCTGCGACAGCAGCCAAAAATACCAGACACTTCTGAAGAATCAACAGAACAGGGAAGCTTATCAAGTGATCCATTCTCTGTTGTCCAGTCTCCTTTTCTGACAGTCAGAAGTTTAGGGACACCCAGAGCCTTCAAGTTCTTAACATGTATATGGAACAGGGTGGATAAAAATCAAAGATTTAAAACAATTGGATTTTTTTTATTTTTTAAAAAATCATCAATAAAATACTAAATTTCTTATTTAAAAATGTCACAATTGAATCTCATCACAGACATGCTACAGCTACGCTTACAGTCCCATGACATTAATGACTGGCTGACATCCAGCCCAACACCCAGCTCTTGCTTCCTGAATGTTCTGGGCTTTCCATTTCTGTTTCTCAGCAGACTAAAGTGACATGTGCAAAGATGGACACAGGCTGGATCGGATTGTTTCTGTTCTGTGCTTATATGATGTTGGTCCTGGGGCAAGCACGACAGAGGAGTTCGTTAAGACATTATCTCAAGACAGAGAGACAATATACAGGAAAGGGCAGAGGCAGCATAGACAGCAACACTGGAGTGGACTAGAAATAAAAAAGGAAGACATTATTCAGCATACACACAGCTTTCTGTATTCCCCCTCGCTTTTGCCTTAGAAAAATAGCTGTGGCTTCTGGCCACAAGAGAGACGCTATCTGGGAATATTTTGAAGACATTTGTTTCCTGTGGGGAAAAAAAAAAAAAGAAAACATGTAAGCAGGGCAAGAAGATGATGCAGAGCCTAATTGCAAGAATGAAATTTCTTAAGGAAAAACTTAAAAAGCAACAAATAGTTTAGCAGTGCCTTAAAGACTAACAAAACACATAGATGGTATCATGAGCCTTCGTGGGTACAATTCAGTTTTCTATCTGCTTATTGGAGTTCATTTACAAGTTCGATACTATCATCTTAGTCTCGAATAAAGATCTTAACTGGTTAACACACAACAAAGGCAATTTCCCTGCCTTAGAATATGCTTTGGAAATGTAAATATTAAATGAATGATACACATCCAGCCTAACTTAATTATCTTCATTAACAGGGCTTGACAATCTATGTAATCTACTTGCCCGTGGCGAGTAGATTACATCCCGGAAGAGCTGGGTTCGGGTGATCTGCGCATGCACAGAACGATCTTCACATGCGCAGAACACCGGCCAGCGTGGCTGGCGAGCAGGGCTCGCCGCGGCTCAGCAAGCCCTGCTCATTAACACTGATCCTACAATTGTCAGGTAACTTCTTTCACTGTTATATATACCCCAAATTCTGTAATACCCACTCCAACTTATCTGATGAAGTGGATTTTCCCCTAAAAAGCTCATGACCTAATACATTTATTAGTCCCTAAGGTGCCATAGGATTTCTAGTTGTGAAGATGAGGAACTTGGGCAGAAGTGATCTGATAGAAATCAAGATCCTATAGAATTGCACATGAGAACAGCAAAACTAGGAGCCTAGATTTCAAAAGGTGGATTTCAGCCGACTCAAGGAAAGAGTCGGCAAAGTCCAATAGTAAGACCAGTTAGTAAGAAAAGGAGCCAAGGAGGCTGGCAATTCTTAAAAGAAGTAATACTAGGGCTTAATGTCAAGATATTCCAACACAGAGGAAAGATTAGAAGAGCAACAGGAGGTCCATGTGGCTGCACAAGAAGCTTTTTAGCTATCAAAAACTAAAAAGGATACACACAGAAAATAGAAGGGAGGGGGCTCATGTCACCTTGAAAGGTTACATGGGAACAAAAATCAGGAAAGCCAAGGCAAGGAATGAGTTACAGATGGCAAGGAATGGAAGAGACAACAGTAAGGCTTTGTCTACATTGGCGCAATCTTGCGCCAAAGCAGCTGCTTTTGCGCAAAAACGTGCTGCCTGTCTACACTGGCGGGGAGTTCTTGCACAAGAACACTGACGTTCTAATGTGTGAAATCAGGGCTTCTTGTGCAAGAACTATGATGCTCCCGCTCAGGAATAAGCCCTTTTGCGCAACTGTTCTTGCGCAAGAGGCCAGTGTAGACAGGCAACATGAATTTCTTGCGCAAGAAAGCCTGATGGCTAAAATGGCCATCAGCACTTTCTTGTGCTAGAGAATGTCTACACTGGCATGGATGCTCTTGCGCAAAAGCACATCTCTTGTGCAAAGGCACATGCCAATGGAGAATCATAGACTACTAGGACTGGAAGAAACCTCGAGAGGTCATCGAGTCCAGTCCCCTGCCCTCATGGCAGGACCAAATACTGCCTAGACCATCCCTGATAGACATTTATCTAACCTGCTCTTCAATATCTCCAGAGATGGGGATTCCACAACCTCCCTAGGCAATT